AATAGAAATATTTATGTTTATGTTTACAAATGATTTTATTGTAATTCAATTATTTTTTATATATTTAGATATAAATAATTATTTAAAAATTTATAATATTTCTGACAGAATATGAGATTAAATGAAATTATTTAAAAGTAATTATCCATTTTAAAAGATAACATATTCAACACATTATATGTTCAAAAACACAGTTGTGATATATGCATACATAGTATGTAAAAATRTATAACAATTATATAAATTAAAATATTAAAAAATAAAATATTTAATTCTGAATTCTGAATTGTTTGATATATTTTGACATTTCTACAAACAACATATAACTATAGATATTTGGTATCATTTGGTGCACCAAAAGTCATGTCTATTACATACAATTTTTGGTATGTGTTATATCACGCCATTAGATGATACTATCATTTAATTCTTTAACATTAAGATCGATGTCTATTATATTTATCAAAAGACCAATCCCTGGGTATTGGTGTGTATGTATGTATGTATGTATGTATGTATGTGTGTGTGTGTGTGTGTGTGTGTGTGTGTGTGTGTGTGTGTGTGTGTGTGTGTGTGTGTGTGTGTGTGTGTRTGTGTGATGCGGGYAATAGGTATAACATATATATATATAACCRATTGAATGAATTTCGATAGTTTGGTGACACTAAATAAATGTTAATATTATCACAAATATATAAATAACGGACAATATGTCAAAATTATTGCAATTCATTGGTTATGATTAAAGGCACTCATATAAGGCAAACAATACATTTTTATTGAATGAATGTGTGTTAAACTCATTAATATTACCTCTCTATGATTATTACTCTTTGTTTTTATAATTTATAAATTTTATGTTTTGTTAATATAAGGGTGATTAGCAAATTAACTATAAAGATAAAGAGTAAATGCATAATGAGATTATGATGCAAAACRATTAAAACAAAATAAAATAAATAAAATTGGTATTATTAAATAACATAAACTTCAATGATTGCGTGTTTAAGCATAATATAAATACTGTATATACTGTATTGTATTGTATATGGTATCATATTTTACTAAAAATGATTGTACATTACTATCAAACTTATAAATCAAACAATAAAAATAATTTTTCTAATATACTGTAGTGTTGTGTACATTATTGTGTGTTTTTGAATTGTTTATTTTTAAAATATGTCACATCCACAAATATGAAACATTTATTTTTATTATATTTAATTTAATTTTAGGCATTTATTAGTTTAAATTATAATAATTTTTTATAATTTTTAATGAATGAATCAATATAGTATTTATAACACAATTCATTACAAAATGCATTACATTCAAAATTGTATTAAAAAATTATTGATTCTATATATTGTATATATATTTGTGTATTGAAATGATATGCAAAAGTTGACACATTTTGATAATTGAAAGTTTGCTATGAATTTTAATTGCTTTTTAGATTAGTTGTGTTTCTGGTGKTATTGATGTCACCAATTGGTTGTCCATTAGTTGTTAGATATCTAATCTTTGCGGCGACGAAACCCCAAAATTGACTCATATTTTTGAATTGTTTTCTACGGCACAACCAAATACCGATGACAAGTGCAACCATAAAGGATAACAGCAATACTACCAGTGCTTGCAATGCCATTATTATTCGACAATTTGGTTGTTTATCAATTGCCTACACTTGTATTTAGTAATAATGTTTGTTAAATTGACATTTTTATTTAAATTTTATTAACAATCATTGTCTCGCACATACATTTGTAATAATTAATACATGTTTTAAAATATAATTGATTGTTAACTAATAATTAATTGCAAATTAATTTATTTAATGTAAAAAACGAGACATTCATTGAATCGATAGCTAACACATGAGTTACATATTATTGCTTGTGATATGTTGTAAATAGTGGTACTATTAATCAATTAGTCAATGAAAGCAAAGGCAACACTTAATCCCAACACAACACACATATTGTGCACAAAGTTTTATATGTAATACCATATACTCGTTGTTATTCTTTACTCACTATTACTATAAGCCATGACTTTATACCGTATATCTGATACAGAATTTCTATTTTATATATCATTGTGTGTTCAGCTCTTAATTGAATTAATTTTATTGCTATAATTACCAGTAATTAATGTCTTTCGCAATAAATTAATTTAAGTTATGTTATGTTTTTTTCGATATCCCAGTCCAATGGTGCGGAAAGTTATGTAGTCTTCACATGCAATCATTTATTTGTTGTTCAAGTCTTATACCTTTAAAAGAATAAATCTTTTTTCTGTTTTTCTATATTTCTTAGTGACTCTTATTTGAAATGCATTGTATAAGAGGTTTCAAATTGTATGTCAGTTTATAACATATTATAATGTGTTTAGAAGTAAAGCACAAATGAAATGATGTTAAAAGCAAACATTCATTAGAATATAATATATAAGTCTATTAGCAGTCAGTGAATAAACAGTATGTTTGTTATATAACATAGAATATAAATATAGAGTTTTTACTTTATTTAGATGTGATTTCTCTTGAATTTAGTTGCATTTTCTTGCACTCAATTCCCAGATATTCTATTAAGCCATAAGTCAAGCAAGTTTTGGCTCTAATTATTGATTTTTCTTTACTTTATTTGAATTGTTGTCGATATTATTCACATGCAATGAAAATAGGCTTTGAATTTATTGGCAAAGAATTATTTGAAATCAAAATATAAAACACTTAAATATTGTATACATTTTTGTAWTATTAATATATACATAGACTATATAGAAATGAATTATCGGATTTAACAGTGCATTACAATAACAGTCTAAATGCATAACAACTTTATATATTAATGTTTTTGCATTAGTATGATATCAGTGGCTCTCGAGTCACACAACTGATGACAGGTCTGTCTGTCTGTKTTACTCTCTCTCTCTCTCTCTCTCTCTCTCTCTCTCTCTCTCTCTCTCTCTCTCTCTCTCTCTCTCTCTCTCTCTCTCTTTCATAGCTATTGTTCACATCTGTTGTCTTCAATCATTACCCGTGCGATCGGCAATATTTGACGCAACGAAAGGGACAGTAATTCATATGAGCCATAGGATAGTGAATGCTAGCGATGGCAATGTCTCTCATGAGAGACAAACAACAAAACAAATTACATTTTCAGTAATCTCTAATAGATTAGGAAAAAGTAGGAGTCATACAAATATACAGCTTTTACTGTTACAAACACTTCAATCAAATCAACTCCTTATGACAGCAAAGCTCTCACTTTCTATAAATGGCTTTAATATCATTTGAAAGCCTCGTCTCTATTTCAAGTGATTTACAAAATTTATGTTTACTTTAAAACTTATTTTCAAAGTTTTTATTACATTTTTCTCAATAATCAAAACGAGTTCTCATTTCTCTAAATTTACTCAAACTCTTAATGGAAATCGGAATTAGATTTTTGTTATATAATTTTATATATAATGTTATATAAAAAAAAATAATAATAATAATAATAATATAATGTTATTTTTTGTTTTTATAATTTTTCTATCATTTAGATTTTATGGGATATTATTTTATTGACCAAAAATAATGTTAACATTACAATCATAATCTTTAAAACATTACAAATATTGTTTGAAGCAAAGATTTATATAGTATATATATATATATACAGTATATACAATTTATATATAAATATTAGCTAAACATAAATTAGATTACATTACCTGATTATTGATTACATAAAAAATATTTGACTTAATAATATAAGTAAGCATACATATAATAATGCACACACTAGATATCAATTTCAATGTAATCGTTGAAATAAATAACTTTTATAATATATTTTGCGATCAAATATAAGTTTATTATTGCTATTTCTTTCACTCCATTTTTTGCTCAAAAAAGACTAAGAAAACATTGTTTTGTCATAACGTTTACATAAAATAAAATAATATAATGACAGAGAAAATGGTCAATAAAATTGTTTTGTCAAATATTTTGCAATATAACAAGTATTTATTATATAACTATTTATATAATACTTTATCAGAATAAAACTTGTTATATATATATATTGCTAATATTCTTATAATAACAATAGTATTATATATGMAATTATCAGTATATAAATTATTATAAATTGAATGAATTGCACACAATTTAATAATTAATCAGTAAAATGTTGTAAATCAATTTTTATTTATAAAAATCTAGATGATTAATATTTTTGTCATTATTTTTATTTTATTATATAACATAGTCATGTATGTGTTTGACACATCACGCGATGAGATTTAAAAAAATATTTTAAAACAAATTATTTTTTATATATTTTGTCAGTTATTAAATCTAAAAAGGTTTTATATATGTAATAATCTCAAGTGATTATTGACTGTGATAAATAAAATCATTTATCTGCTAAATGTATAATAATGATAAAAACATATTTATCAAAGAGAAAATTTTAAATTATTTTTATTTTGTTGACATAACATCTATCAGCTATAGTCACTATATTTTAAAATCATAGACTTTACTGCTATTTATTATTATCTCGTTATCAAAATGATTTAGTTTTTAAAAGGAAAATGCGTTATTGACTTTACTTTATCGATCAGATCGCAGCCCATAATTACTTGAATAATAGAGACTAAAATCATAATTTTCAAAACATATGACACAAAAAGTTTTCCAGTTTTGTTGAAATGTTAGGACAGTATGACTGCAAAGACACGTATTGTACAACTAATGAGTGTCGACAACAATTCTCGTTAGCTTTTAGTTTAGTTAGCAGACAAACCCTGTATCTTATATTGTGTATACAGAAAACTATAACTAATAATAATAATAATGACTAAACTTTTCTACTCTTTTTTTATTATAACTGGATATAATACGATAACATAGTATACTATACTACTATATATAACTAGTAATGTTTGTTAAGCTACCGATTCTGTAGAAATATTCTTGTGTATGACTGTGCAGTTCATACGGTTGTGTTATAAACACCGGAATCGACGCATTCGGTTGTCTTTCATCTGTCGCTTTCACGTGTGTTTGCTCTCCGCCTCTCAAAACCATTACAATCGATATCCAGTAGTGTTATATAATGTGAGCTAACGGTGCCGTTTCGGCCAAACAGTCATTTCTCACACATCCACACACATTGGGAGCCCCAGCATTGCCTTTCCATTAGAAACACATCATCAATAATAACATTGATTTTTAACAAAGTTCCGCTTCTCCTACTATTTGCTGTGCTATGTGGCGGTAATACCAGTATTACACTACACGTGCTCTTGTCTAACACATCTTATCTCGTGTTTTTAAATCATTAGATAAAAGCATAAAATGTGCTAAAAGTTTGTTGTTCTTAAAATACATAAAGAAAAAAACCATAGGATTTGATACTTTAATACATGTGTTATATAATATAAAACTTTTTTCCATTTGTTACACTATTTATATATTTGCGATAAAACATATGTCACGTATAGTTTTATGGACAGTAACACCAAAATGAGTTGATATTCATATTACATGGCATACGTTATATGTCAATAATGATGGGTCTGTCTATCGGAGCTTATTTCATGATACCATTGATTTGTCTCGAAGGTAACTAAGCTTTAATCATATTAATATTAGTTCACTTTACTTTACATTTTATATATTATTATATATTTAATATTAATTTATTCAACTTTATTTTAATTAAAAAATTTGAATTCAATAAAATTCAATTATTAGAACTGTTTGTTTAAAATAATTAAAATCAGTTTATTTTATTTATTTATTATATTTAGCTTAATATAAAAATTAATGTTAAGATGAGCATAAAACATACACATGTGATGATATAATAAATGCAAATAGTTTTACTAATTTTGTTCATAAAAATAATGCATAATCTCATAAATTATTTATTTGATGATATTTATGCAAACAAATGCAAATATATATATGAATTATTAATCAACTTTATTTTATAGTCTAATACTATATTCAAAGTAATATCTATATTTATTTAAATACAAAGTTATTAAGCAGGTTAAATTTTCTAAACTGTTTTGTRTTTGTTTACTGTAYGTTATTTTTATTTTAAATGTTTTATAATATACAAAAATAATGTTAAATTYGTTTACTAAAATTGATTTCTTTAAATATATTGTTGAAAATTTTAAATAATATTATATTAAAAAAATTAAAGCAAACTTTTATTTATAAAATTATTAATATATTATAAGTCAATATTAGAATTATCAAATTATATATTTTATATATAAATATTTATTGCAAATTTTATTATATAAATTGTAGAAATAAAAAATAATTTATACTAAATCAATAAACTATTTTATGAAACAAATTTAAAATACTAAAAGCTTTATGGATTTCGCATTATTATATTTAATATTTTAATATGTTATAAAAAATTATTATAATTTAATAACTAATAAAATTTTTATAATAATTATATTAAAAATAATATAGTATAATCTTTTTATTTTATTGATAATTACAAATAGTAATTACATTTTTAAATTAAATACTATGTATTATAATAATTTGCTGATAATTACAAACTCTTCAAATGATTCGTTGTGTATTATTCTGTCTGTCCATACGTTTTTAATATTTTGAATTTTGACTTTAGATTCGGATATTTGATAAAAAAAAGTATAATAGAAAAAGTAATGTATTATCACTTAATAAACGGATAAAATGGTCGACAAATTTAGATAATAAATATTATAAGTATATGTAATATATATATATAATAGTATGAATCAAATGCAGAATTTTCTGATATCATATTTACAAATATGTGTTAGTATTTGTTTTTAGCCCTCATTGCTTACCTTTGATCCCATATATAATATAATTGATTTAATTATTATTTTTCCAATTATTACTTATGAGTTTTTTGAGATATTGGTAATTTTACTATCAAATAGCTTTATATCATATTTTATCTGTTAATAAATTTCATTGAAAGGTGTGTCCATTATAAGCACAGATAAAGTTTGTGACAAAATATTTTTTTCTTTAACTTTTATTTTTAAATGTTATCTAAATTACAGGTCGTATAATAGATACCATATTATAATATTATAAATACTATTTACATTTGCAAATATTGACTGTATTTCGATTAAAATTATTTTTATCTAATTATCTAATTATAAAAATTGCATTTTTATGTCACTAATAACAAATACACAGTATTATCGTATTATCAAATCATTAATTTGTTAAATTTATAAGTTGCTACTTATTATATTATATCATACAATTTTAATAGCTTTCATGCATAGTATATAATACTATATTATTGTATTAAATTATATATACTGTATATAAATAAATATTTGATAAAAATATAATGTGATATAATTGCAATTTTGCTTTTCAACATTTATTTTTGCTTTTTGTATTAGCAATATTTTATTACTTATATACAAAATATAATGATTTTTATAAAKATAATTTCCTAATTTAAATAAAATTGTTATTTTTAATAATGACTTCACAAATATCAATAATTATTAAGTTTTATGTTGTCTTCACAACAAATAATAAAAATTTATTTAAAACTTACAATTGAAGGCAGTTTTCGGTGATAGTCTGTCACAGTTTACATAAAACTCGACTGTTTTTGGTCTCAATCTGAGATCATTATCATTGCCGAGTCCGACATCACTACTATATTAAAAGTAACAGTGATATCATTTTTTTGTTACTTATGAACATTTCATAAGAGTTGAGAGCTTTAAATATATTACATTAAAAAATATATAAATATTTTCAAAACAATTATCTGAATTTAAAATATAGTAATAAATGAAATGATTATTTTATTAAAATAGTGTCTATAAGGGAACTGTTACCTCCCGAGTCCAACGCTGGTCAGCGGGAGAGGTGTATCCCTTATGTAAGGGGTAGCACAGACACTGGGGGTTAAAACAGTTAAACAGGGGGTAAAACATTGAGGTTTGGCTGACCGGTAACCTAACCGTCGGTACCCAAACACTCACTCAATAAGCGGTACAAAACACTAGGCAAACAACTCACTAAACATACAATACTTTACAACAGTTTTAATCAATAAAACAAAACATATAATAATACAAACTTACGGTACGACTGACTTATGTCGTCCGTGAATAGTCTCACTCGAGACTAAAACTAAGACAAACCCAAAATATACAAAATGTTTACCCATTTATAGCAAAATTATAATACAAATTAATTCAATACCATTAGGAAAAATACCAAAACTTATATACAATTAATTATGAAAACATATATACATTAATATACAAAAAGTATTTAAACTTTGACTACAATTATAACATTAAAAATAGCTTAAACTTGTAGTCAATCTAACTCTCGGTTAAATGTCTCAATTTAAATGCTAACAAAAATAAACACATATAAATTTCAATAGACTATATAAATAAAAATTTAGCTGGCATTTTTTAAATATCAAAAATTATAAAATTATATATTTAGTACAATTATTTTATAATAATTTTTATATGTTTTACAATATATTCAGTTAATTTTGTTTTATAAATAATTTTTAGTTTACTGAACATTTCTGTTTTATTTTTTTGTCATAACATTGTTTTAYACAATGTATCTGTCATTTGAAATAAAAATAAATAAGTTATAAAAAGCAGAAAATTATAGTAATATGATTAACGAGACATTTATCTATTGATAAATCAATAAAAAAAATATATATAATATATATGCTATAATACAGTACATGAATTGAGAAATTACCACAAAATTAGATGACATGATTGCACTATATATTAATATTTGTTATTATATACTGTATATTTTATTATATATATAATATATAGTATACAGTAYTTGTAGTAATACTAATAGTATTGATTTATATTTATAAATTGGTATACATATACTGATTCTCAATAGCATTAATATAAGTTATAATACTGTATAATGTAATACATTTCTTAATGAATAAACATTTGCTTATTTTATTTAATCACTTAATTATTCACTTTAATATCAAAGCTGTAAATTATTGTTTGCTAATTGTTAGTTTTTATGACAAATTAAATTAATTTATTTTATAGATAATTTTTTTAATATTTTATTATTTTCATAATTTCTTAATAATAATTTTTTAACAATTGACGATTAGACTACTATTAAATATTTTATTAATTATAATTAAGTTATATATTTTTAAAAAGTTTTTACTATTCAATAAAATATTTATTATATAAACTTTATAATACAAAATATATTTAATAATATTTATTTTCTAAAATAAATTTTAATTAATTAAACTACATTACATTATAATTAATTGATTTTAGCATTATTTTACAATAAATTATATTTAACTATTTCATATAATTTTATAATTATTTTAGAATGGTTACTAATAAAAAATACATAAAAATTAAAAATGTATTTTTGTATTATAGAAAATTCTAAGTTTAAATAAATAATTTTTACGTATTTTAAATCCAAAAAACATATTTTTAAACAGGTAAAAGCATGYTAAACATTAATTAGTTTATAGTCTACTAATTTGGTAATTACATGCAATTACATTAATTGCAATTACTCTCATATTTTCATTATCCATAAATTCCATACAATATTATTAATAATTTGATCCTTTCAATAGTTATTAATGATTTCATTAACAGAATATTCATATMTCATAAATTCTAAACAAATGGTATTTTCTAAATTGTGTATTAAAAATATTRTATATAAATACATATATAAATATTATATAAATTAATATCAATATATATAGTACTTTATATACTATAAAGMGATAAACATATAAAACTTGTATCTGTCTAACAGTAAAATACACTGTATAGTGAATATGTAGAACATTGTGTTATATAAAAATATTTTAAGGGGCATTAAGGGGTATAAATTAGTAATGGGGCACCTCTTAGCATATTAAGATGATGATATATTATATGCTATTATCATTATTAATATCATATTATTGATGCGCTATTATTTGATATTAATACAGACATCCTATCCCTAAGGGTTTCTTACAAATTATTCAAAATAATAAAATTTATAACAAAAACATTATTAGTAATATAGCATATGTTGTTTATGACATGTTGTATACTGTAAATGACATGCATTTGTTGTAAAGTAAGAAAATATTGTTACTTTGATAATATGATACAAATACTGTATTATGAAAACTATGTCTGTGTTTAATGTATTAAATAATGTGTAAAACATAATATTTTGATCCATTCATCGGAAAAATAGCAATGAAAAAATGTTTGCCACAAAAATATTTGCTAACAATAAACAGCACACAAACCCTCTAATCAAATATATTTAGTGATTGATTGCTTTGCTTTCTGTTTAACAATTTTATTCATTTTTCTCACTTTTCATCTGAAATACATTTTTTAATTCATTTTCATTGTTACACCAATTCTTCGTTTTGATAAAAAAAATCTTTCCTCAAGTCTTGATATTAAAAAATGGTTTAATCTATTATTTGAAAGCAAAGATAAAACATTTTTACATTTAATAATAATGATTATAAATTCTTTGTATGGAAAACTTTTTTCCGGTTAGTTGAAAAATATTATTTGATATATATATATATATATCAACTTATTTTTATCTTAGACAACAATAAAATATATAATATATATATGTGTGTAGTAGTAATCAGTCATTTTATAGTCATAGTATAAATATAGTATCGTATATTATTATATTTGCTAATATATGCAATATATAAAAGCAAAAATAAGTTAGATTTGTGAATATTGTATGAGTGAATAAATTCTGGATATAAATTCTTTATATATTTTAATAGTTGTATTTAAATCGTAAAACTGATAGATAGATAGGCAAACAAACTGAGAGAAGAGAAATATTGAATATAAACTATGAATTGGAAGTAAAACTAATCAAAATTGCTTTAAGCGCTAAATGTATTTATTTTCCTTTTATATCATTTTTATATAATATTCTTAAATAAGTCTAACTAACGAAAAATATCTGTAAAAATAAATCTCACAAAAATGAAAGTAACAAAAAGATAACACATATATACAGTATATATATATATTATGTACTGTATGTCTGTGTCTGTTAGTGTTTGGCAAAAAAGAGAAATTTCTAAAATAATAAATAAATTTCTGTCTATAGGATCCTAATGTTAATTTTGTGCTAAATATTTGTCAGATTCTAACAATACATTATAATCTCAAATAATAACTAAATATTATTAATAGTCGTTTAATAATATTGATAGTAAAAAATTGATATATAATATTACATTAGAATAAAAATATAATGAATTGATAAATAAAATTTTACAAAAACTATAATAATAATTATTTATATATATACGTATCTCATATGTGTAGTAGAGTATTGTACAATATATCATTTCTTATTAATATAGAAATACAATCTCATATTATAATAATAAAGTAAAATTTCTGGAGAAATTTACTAGAAATTTCTATCTGCCCATCTCTAGTGTATGTATGTATATATATGTTTGTTTGTTTGTATTTATTTACACAGTATATAAATTACATATAAATTTATATTTAATTATATTTATGATCACTAAATCGCTATTTCTTTTTTAAAATTTATTTTATAACTTATATTTAACACAATTTTAATATGATTTTATTGTATTTGTTATTTTATTAATCTTATATTTAAGATTATGAAAAATAATGTTGAAATGGTTGTCCTTTTTGTAAAATAAATCCATAGAGATTTGGACCAAACACTTGATTTCCTGGTTTGGTATCTTTTTTTATATTATAAACATCTATCTGTTCAGTGATCTCAATGGTATACCGTATACCACATCAACACAAAAGTAGTGCTCAAGTAGTTTGAGAAGTCATTGGATAACTTCAAGCAATGTTTACAATCATATGCTTTGACTCAGCAAAAGAAGAGTTAAATCAAATCAAATTATACAAAATGTCTACTAATTTACATAAATAACACACATTTATGTTGAGATAACTAAACAAACTTATATAAAAAGTCTTTATTATTGTTAACATAAAGACTAAACTAACAGTATTTCAACATTTTTAATATCAGAGTATTTCTAAACTATTTTATTTGGGAAACCGTTATTTCAAACTAAACAATATTATATTAAAAGCAAACTTAATTAGTTCAATGCAAACATAACTATTTGAAAATTAAATATATTTATTTCAAAGTGAATCTCATTATTTCAATTAATTATTTATTTCAATACTTAATACTGTAATATGTTTTATTGAAATTTATTATAAATTGAATATCTATTAAACTGATAACATATTCAAATTACAAATAATTTACTATTAATATTAATTCAATTCACTATTTAATCCAATTAGTATTTTTTACAAAATTTAAAATAAATTAAAATATTTTTATTTAATATAGTATACAATAAGCTTTTCTAAGCATTAAAAAATATTTGATGAATAAATTAAATTCAGTATTAGTTATAAATATTGTATTTGTAAATAACTACAATTTTATTTATGTATCGATATTTATACAATATTTTAATGGTATTTACTTATTGCATTTTATTCAATCATAATATTTATATACTTAAATAATGTTAGGGGTGATTCACATATTACGTTCGCATGCACCTTAATAAAAGCGTCCGCTATGTATTGCGCAATAAATAAAATTACAGTACATAAACATGGYTGTATTTGAGAAATTTTTAGCATCCTATAAAAATCGTGTTATTTTAACATAGGCTAATTGACACTAAATTCACCAGGGTCAGCTTCTGACGGACACTAATTTTTAACTTTTTTCTCACTTTTTAAAAAACCAGCATTTATTAGTGTCYTTAACCCCTCTAAGAAATAACATAAAATACCATTATATTTATAAATAATTTATTAAAATTAAACAAATCGTTTAAATAATGTATTATAAACATGAAATCGACAATAAATTTAGAAATAATCCTTTGATATAATGTTTTGAGTTAGACATCAATTAATTTAAACACTAAAATAATGATTTAAAAGAATATTTTATAAAATTATTTTCACTTTTAAAATATYCCAAAAACTGGAAATAAAACTATTTCTATTCATAAGTCATATATTTATTCAAAACGTTTTTATCAAAAGATTAACTTTAATAAAAATGAATCCTTGAATTATTTAATTGCGAAMGTTCTTAAGGTCTCTACCCACCCCTCCCTTAAGTGCGAATGTATTATGTGAATCACCCCTTATTTTGAAATAGTTTTGTTTGCTTTAATAGATTATATTTTAAGTAATATTTTGAAGTTATAATTATTTGTTTTGTTAACATCAAGTTTTATTGCCAGTAGATATAAATATTAATTAATAATAATTTTTATTTAGTCACTATTACATACAGTATATAAATGTTATAAATAGTGGTTTATATTAAATAGTTATCAACTAATTATTATATTCATTAAATATTCTAAAACTACTTATAAATGATATAAAAATTTCCATTTAATTATTATGTTATTTACACATAATTAATATAAACTCATTTTCCAATATCCGATAAATAATTATTTATCTAAATTTACATGCATTAGCTATTATTGATAAACTATAATATTTATTACTTATTATTATTAATTATAGGCATAATTCAAAATATAAATATATTTATGATATATTGCCTGTACTTTACAGAAAAAATCAATAATTGGAAACTGAGTTTCTATACAAAAACTTTACATAAAATATTTAAATTCAAAAAACTTATTTAAATAATAATAATAATAATAACTTAATTATTTTTTTGTTTTAGTAATTAATTAAATTTAATAACTATCATATTTGCGATTACATTGAATTTAATTTTCTTTCACAAATCAATTTAATTGAAATTATATTCATTAACCATAAAACTTGATGTTAATTAGTAATTATAATTTAGATACAGTATATAGTTTATATTTTTCAATTTATTAAAATAGTAAACTTTTTTGTTGTTCAATAATATGTGTTAAAAGTTATAACATGTTAATCAATAATCTATTGTATATAGTATTCAATGAATATACAGTATTTTCAATAATAATAGTATCTAAAATAAAAATAAAAATACTTTTATAAAAATTAATTTATTGCAAATTTGTATTTATATTTTACTATAATTTTTAATATTCCAAAAATATAATTTAAATGTTAATTTAATTATGATTCTAATGAGAGATAATATTATTTGTGACTTACAATTCAATAATATTTGGTCCAAATAACTATTTATTTAATAAACATTTTTAAAAAATATTCTTTATATTATTTAGACAATAGATTTGATATATTTATATGTTGATAGTTATAGATAAATTATAATTAAATTAGTAAATTATATGCAAATATACTAATTATATGTTAATTACTAAATGTAAAAGTTATTAAATATAAATTTTATATCGTTAAATTTTATAATTTATTATATTATTCAGCATTTATTTACACAAATTTTCAATTACTGCATAATTTGAATAATATCTCATTTTTAGTAAAGATTACACTAATTATCACAAAATAATTAAATATTTGTTTATATAATAAAATAGATTGTCATATAATTAATTGAATAAATGATTTGACGCATTATTTTATATTGATATTTAATTTTCAAATTGATTTAGTCGTTGTATTACAATATAATAATAAGATAATTCATTTTTAAATTAGTTTTGAATTAATTAAATATATTAAAATACAATATTATTTAATTGTGCTAATTATAAAATAATTTGCAAAAACAGTACATACTATATATTGATATACATTATATATATATTAATGATTTTTATAATGTGGTATTATACGATATTATTTATATATGATATCTTTTTAAAATAATAATTGATTTTTAAAAACACAACTATAATTTGATAATTAATATTATAAAAAAATTATTATTAAATAAAATACAGTATAAAGAAACAATGATTATTATGTGAATAATTAATAAAAGCTCATTATAAAAGTTATTAGTATACAAAATTCATAATTACAAACTATGTTATAAACTATTTATCACTAAAAAACTTATTTTACATATAAATTTAAAGTGAATTATTATTATATAAAATTATTAATAATAGCTACATTTCCACTACATTTTTTACATTCACATTTTTTCTATATTTTTTATGTAAATAAATTAATGATTAAAATATTTTTATTATCATATAATGTTATTATCTTTATATATATACATATATATATATTATCTAATTTATAGCTTTTACAGACATCTCTGTTATAGTCATTGAAGTTATCAAATAATGTTTATTGTTTCCTATCATTCAATTTTCAGGCCTTTTATATATTTCATGTGTAAAAATATTGAGACATTCAATCCCACGTATGGTTGACGCCAGTAATACAAGTGAACTGATCCTCGACTGTGAGTATGTCTACGACGCCAATGACATAATGCTTGTCGTTAAGTGGTTTCACAACAACTCTCCCGAACCTATATATCAGTGGATCCCAGACCGCGGTGTCAGATATGTCAGTGAACTACTTATGCCGCGCTTTGATATGAACTATTCAGTCAATCCCAATGACTTGTACTCTAAGTTTAGAGCACTTAAACTTAAAAATAACATAACTGTCGACTTAAATGGCAATTTCTCGTGTGTGGTCACCTCATTGGCCGGTCAAGACATTAGACAGGCACAGATGGTTGTCTATGGTATGTATTACTTATACATTCAATTATTATTATTTGTCACTAAATATAATTCCCGAAAGATTTGTTGAAAGCATTGCATTGTAAAACACATACATTACATGCAAGTGCTCTCTCTATTGTTTCAGACCATCATTTGTCTAATAATTTATACAATGGTTTAGTAAACCACATGAGGAATGATTGCACAAGAATTAGGGATTTGTTTTTAAAASACCAGATATCTGTGTGAGGAATAGATAATAATAATTTTGCCAACAAATGTGCCAAACTTTACTTTAATATAATCAGACATTAATTTGTTTGACTTAACATAAATATTTATTATAGTAGTTAGTCTTCAAACTTGAAATCTCAAAAGTCATATGAATTTGTTTACATAATAGTTATACGAAAACTAAAAGCTTATACAAAAAGCATTGCAGTGATATTTGCATTAATAACATAATATTAGTGTAAATCTATTTCTATATAAAAAACTATAAACAAATATACTGTTAATTTTACAATAAAATACTAAACCACAAAAACTTTTACTAAATTGTTTTTAATAGATAAGAAATAAAACATTTTTACTCTTTATTTCTTTCTATCTTTTTTACTATAATTATGATTATATAAAGTACTAAATTAATTATGACAGGTTATAATATATATAGTATATACTATGTCTATGACCTGTTTATAATAAATCATGTTAAATATTTTTAATAAATGTTTTCATAAGTAAAAATATATTTTATAAAATTTAATTATTTTTTATATTTTCTTATTTCTTATATTTCATTTTCTTTGTAAAACAACTGTTTAAGTATTCAAAGAGCATTGCATTTGTATTTTATTTTGTGTGAAAAATGATACTCACTTTCATATCATTGGTTTTAAAGGCAAATGGGATGCAAACAAAAGGTCGTTCCCTATGTGAACACAATTTATATAATTCTTTAGATTTCAAAAACTAAAAATTTATATAACGATAGAAAAAGCCTTTTAGCATATAATGTAAAAGAATAACTAAATATTTTGTAAAAACATAGAGAAATACATACAAACAAAGAGTATAACAAATAAATTATTATATATTTATTGAGTTTTGTGTTTCATTTGTTTGGCATTTTAAATCAAATATTGAATGACTGCTATATTTTATGTTTTATTTTTCAAAACCCTTATGCAGTATATATTAATATATAGTTGTTTCCAATTTTTGAATTCAAATAAATAAATGTATAATAAATTGTATTTTTCCAATTTAGTTGTTTTTCTATTATATTTTGAAAATTGATTTAAATTCAATCAATTTATAATAAATACATAAAATAAGCATCTACTGTATATAATTTAGATTTTATATGTACTGTATATACAATTTATTTGTTAACCATTGATGCGAACACTAATCATAAGTCAATATTGTGTATTTACTGTATATGTAATSTCCCGGTGCCCAACAGTACCACCGCAAACGTTTGACTTCAACTATACATCATTGCCGACGGGTGTCCGAGAGCTCGAGTGTCGGGCAAAAGGTGTTTATCCAAAACCTTTACTCACACTCTCAGAGCAAACTACTAACAGCTCAAACTTTCACGCCTTTCCCAAAGTTGACGTCAATATACATCAAAATAACGGTAATTATTTACAGAGTTATATACAATAACTATAACATAATGTACATCAAAATGTATGTCAATATATAGATATTGTGTTTTCCTATTTTTTGTTTCAAATTTTGTTTGTCTGAGTATTTATATTAATAAAATGTTAASACAAATGTTAAGACGTGAGTGACATTAAGTAATAATTTTGATTATATTTTACAAACACTTTCAGAGACTCAATATTTTGATGCAGTGCTGAGGCATCGGCCGCACCAGTCATCACATATGGGAACTGTATTTGAGTGCAAACTGGAAATACCGCAAACAAATTACATTAGAAGAAAGCGAATCAAAATATTTTTCCCGTCGAGTAAGTCATGTCTTCAACAAAAATAGTTGTTTTAGTTTTCGTCATATATTTTATTTGTATTCATTTGGTTGCAAATGTAAGCACAATTCAACCGACTCTACGGTCAACAAAAAATTAGATTATCGGCTTATTTGGTATATACTGTATATACTGTATATATATATATACCGGTGCTTTCATGTCTGCCCGGCTATGTTTCTCAAATAAAAATAATCTAATATAAAATAATAGTGTTTTTACGTGTATTTGCTGTTTTTATGATGATTTTTTCAAATGTTGTATTAGTTTTTTGATACCATAATATGCATATAAATTGTATTTTTAGTGCAATTTACTGTTTTTAGTTATTAATAGTGATAAAAATGCATAAAATACTGCTTTTGMATTCAATATTATGAATTGGTTAGTCATAGAAATATAAAATTGCAAACATGCAAATATATTTTTTATGAATTTATATATAATTTTACTATATTTGATTGGTACTTATAATTTGTTATGAATATAATATTTAATATAAATTCATTGAATCAGCAATTATTGTGTTTGTAATATTAAAATCTTAAGAATCTTATGTTAGAATATTTTGAAAATATTTATTTTATAATTCAAATATTTATTAATAATAAATATAAAATTTATAAACAACTTCACTATTCTGAAAATATTTATAACTATTTTTTATTATAAATCAAAAATCTAAAAATAATTATTATGATTGTATTATATATAAAAATTATATGTGAGATAAATGATTAATTAAATTATAAAAATACAATAATACAATGGCATTATTTTATAATTTACACATTTATTAGCTGTTAATATAATAATGAAGTCTAATTGATATTTTTAATTCATTATAGTCTAGAAATTCTATTATTATATATATAGGAGGCATGTATCACACACACACACACACACACACACACACACACACACACACACACACACACACACACACACACACACACACACACACACACACACACACACACACATGTATATACACAATTTTAAAAACCATTGAATTTTTTTATATRTAGTATAATTACACAGAAATTCCCATTTATAACACTAATGCTTGCAAACTATAATTATTAGGGACTAAATTTTAGCACAATATAAAAATCTATATATTGATTAATTTTCGCCATTTATGCATAATTATAAAATTTGTCACTTTACGTATGATATATATAATCTCTATATGGATACATATTTGTTAATAATGTAGTTTATTGCTTTAAACAAGTRAATTAATTATTTTAAAAATATATTTAAAAATAAAACAATTAAAAGTTGTTTCATTTATTATTATTGTTAAATCAAAATTGTTTTTCAAATAAAGTGCTATTAAAGACAAAYGTTAGACCAAAAAACAGTATCACTAATAGCGACGAATAATTATTGAGTTAACAAATTGCACCCAAATTCTCATTAAATGAACTTTTCTTTTAATGTCTTCAAACAACTATTGTTTCACTCCTTTTCTCTGATTTTTATTACCTTTTTGTGTACTWTTTGTGTACTTTTTGTGTACTCTTTTGATTACTGAAAACAAAAAGAATAATCGATTTAATTATACGATTCATTTCATTTGTAGAAAAAAGTTAAACACAAGATTAATGTTACAAATGTATGCCTAACTTAAAATGCTTTACTATTTGTTTCATTTTTCTATTTAACTAAAAGTTTTTATATTTTTTTATATTTATAGAATATATCATATTTCCTTTTTATATGTAAAAATAAAGTATTTTATTACTCAAATTATTATTTTTTTATTATTGTTTTCATTAAAATATAAYTTTTGTTTCATTTGGTATTATTTGTTAGTTTCAGTGAAATTTATAAAAAAATAAAATATTTTATTATTTATTATTTATGTTGTTTAAACAAATATTATTAAAACTTGTTACATCTTTATATTTATGAACTAAATAATAATAATAATAATAATAATAATAATAATAATAATAATAATAATAATAATAATAATAATAATAATAATAATAATAATAATAATAATAATAATAATAATAATAATAATAATAATAATAATAATAATAATAATAATAATAATAAAAAGGAGGCACAGTGGTGTAGTGGTTAGTGTGTAGGGCTATGTAGTGTAATGGAGAGTAAGATCTATAGTTCGAGCCCCGATGTGGTAAAGCAATTTTTCTGAAAAAAAAATTGTTTTAACTGTGCTTCCCGTCCCTGCCCAACCAACGCTGTTTAGGACGGCCAACTTAAGTAGTATGGGGAAAGCGGGGTGCTAAGTGAGGACGAGTTTCTGCCCGACCCGGGTATCGGTACTTCGGTATCGGTGCCCACCTGGGGGTACCCGCAAGGGTGCTCCCACCCGGGGGTGCCTGTAAAAAGGTGCCCCCACCCCGAAGGGACGTCCGCAAGGATGTCCCTTCACCCTTCGAGTAGTTACTCGTCCTCACACGCAATGGCCACTTTTGTTTCAAAAAATAAAAATCCTATTTCAACAAACACATGTTAGTGGTGAGAAATGGGTGGCAATAGACACATGTTAGTGTTGAGCTTTCTCTAGGGACCGGGACCCCGTAAAAAGGCCACAAAATATATAAATATGATTACACGTAGTCGTAGGAATAACGGGGGGTGTTCGGGAGGTACCCTCTCAAATAAATCCCGCGTTCAGCAGGTAGGCATTGACTGCAGTTCGTTAAGTATGCATCATATCCCACGCAGTGATGTGCTATGCGGGCAAAGCTGTGATGTAATGCGACCGCAGACTAGTCAACAAAATCAGACTAACCTCCAAAATGTTTCAGTTCAAGCTGGTTCTCAGCAACAACTGACCAATTTGGTTGACAAATCGCAAAAGCGCATGAGATGGACACATGAGATGAATACCTTGATAATGCGCGAATACTACAGATCAACTCGACTCGAAACAAATATGACTGATTACAGAAACGAAATATACTTAGCATTCAAACAAAAATATCCAGAAAAATGTAACGGAACAAAGAATTGCAGACCAAAGGCGATTCTTAGCAAAGAATAATAAAATATCCCCGATTGAATTACAAGAAATCAAACAACAAGTGGCACATGAACTATCATTAAATGAAACAACTGAATTAAATACCACAGTAGAAGTAGTGCCAGAAATAGAAGAGACACCTACAACAACAGATAACATAAACAATACAAATGATGAAATAAACAGAATAACAGCAGAAAATGAACTAAAAACATCTTTAGAACAATATAAAGACTTTGAAATAGAATTCAGACCTAAATTACCAAAAATAAGAAGTGGCATTAAAACAAGATCTACTATAATAACGATAAATGATATACTTAAAGATTACATCGAAGAAAATATGTCGTTAGCGCAATTAATACAATAACGTATTGTGCAGCAGTAGCAGTATCAAGACTCTTAGGCTACAAAATAGAACACATTCTACAACAAAACCAAATCAAGAAAATGTAATACCTAAATGGCAAAAGCGAATAGAGACACGGATAGAAGGGAAAAGAAAAATAATTGGAAGAATAACGCAAGTGTTAAATGGAAACAAATCAAAAAGACTTAACCAATCATTAAAAGATATATACCGATCATTACAGACAAAACCTGGAAAACCTGAATTTGAATCCATAATCCGAAATTACAACGACACATTAAAACAAACAGTTCAAGCACTATCACAAAGAATAGAAGATATAAAATACAAAGCGAAAGACGAAAACAAAATACAATGTTCTATAATAACGAAAAAATGTTCTATAGAAATCAAAATAAAATAAATTCAAGCAATAATAACAATACACCACAAATAGATGAAATAGAAAACTACTGGAAAGAAATCTGGAGTAACCCAAAGGAATATAAAGAATCTAATTGGATAAATGATATTGAAGATGAAAATAAAGAAATACCACATATGACTTCAGTAAATATAATTAAAGATGACTTAACCGAAGCCCTCAAGAAATCCCACAATTGGAAAAGCCCAGGACAAGACAAAATACACAACTTCTGGTATAAACACTTTACAACAGTTCATCAACCAATGGCAATAGCAATGAATAAAATAATACAAACAGGAAAACCGATGACTTCCTCACTTCCGGAATAACATATCTACTCCCAAAAACAGAAAATACATCAGATCCCAGCAAATATAGACCAATCACTTGCCTAACAACAATGTATAAAATTCTAACATCCATAATATCAACAAAAATATATAATCATTTAAGTAACAACAACATAATAGCTGAAGAACAAAAAGGCTGTATAAAACACTCAATGGGCTGTAAAGAGCAATTAACAATAGACAATATCATAACAATAAGAGCTCGTCAAAAACATAGAAATCTTGAAATGGCATACATAGACTATAAGAAAGCATTCGATTCAGTCCCTCATAAATGGTTATTAAGAGTGTTAAAACTATATAAAATTGACAACACATTGATAAACACATTAGAAAATATGATGAAAAAATGGAATACTAAATTGTGTGTCAATACAAATAATGGAACAAAAATAAGTACAGAAATCAAAATAAATAGAGGAATATTTCAAGGAGATTCACTCAGTCCTCTGTGGTTCTGCTTAGCCATAAACCCACTGTCATCACTACTTAAAAAGCTAAAAGGCATAAATCTAAAATCAAGTGATACAAAATATAATCTAACACATCTACTATATATGGACGACTTAAAACTATACGCCGAAAAAGAATCTGATTTAAATGCAATGCTAAAAACAACAGAAACTTTCTCCAATGATATAAATATGGAATTCGGATTAGATAAATGTGCTATAATGAAACTGAAAAGAGGAGTCTATTCTGAAAGAAATCAATACGAAACTGATAACGGATATATAAAGGCACTAGAAAATGGAGATATATATAAGTATTTAGGAATTAAGCAAATGCATAAATCTAAAATGACAGAAGTTAAAGAAGAAATAAAGAAAACATTAAACCAAAGAATAATAAAAATACTAAAATCTCAACTAAACTCAAACAACAAATTCAAAGCCATAAACACTTGGGCTATACCTGTACTGACATACTCGTTCGGAATAATAAAATGGAGTAAAACAGAACTTGAGACCATTGAAAGACATATAAGGCGACAACTTACAATGTTTGGACTACACCACCCTAGAAGTTCTGTAGCACGACTGTGTGTTAGTAGAAAGCATGGGGGTAGAGGGTTACTAAACATTGTAAGCCTTGAAGCCAAACAGCGAGAATTGCTGAGAAAATACCATCAACAAAAATGCAATGTCTCAGAGCTCCACAAAATAACAGCAACACTTGATAACAACTACACACCTCTAAATCTCAGCAATAATGAACATCAAATAGAAATACAAAATGAAAAAGAGAGGATTAACACGTGGGCCTCAAAAGAATCCACGGTAGATACAGAGCAGAACTCAACCAAACACACGTAGACGAAGAAATGTCTACAAAATGGTTGAAGTACGCCGGTCTTCATGGAGAGACAGAGGGGTTCATGATGGCAATACAAGATCGAGTGATTCCGACACGAAACCATCAGAAATACATCCAAAAGCTAAATATACCAACAGACAAGTGCAGGATGTGTCATATGGAGTCCGAAACAATAGAACATATACTAAATGGGTGTAAAGTACTCACAAACACCGAGTACCTAAGCCGTCACAACCAAGTAGCCAAAATCATACATCAGGAATTGGCAATAAGATTCGGACTAACCAAAGAACCATTACCATACTATAGATACGAGCCACAAAGTGTAATGGAAAGCAACAGAGCCAAGCTCTACTGGGATAAAGAAATAAGAACAGATAAGACTGTGGCCCACAACCGCCCAGATATAGTACTAGTAGACAAACATCAAGATAAGGCGTACATAATAGACATAGCGGTCCCACTAACACACAAACTACAGGACACGCATAGTGAGAAACGCCGAAAATATACAGACTTGGCCTATGAGATCAATAAAATGTGGCGCATTAAGAAAGTTGAAATCATACCTATAATCCTGTCATCAATGGCCGTAATACCGAAAAATCTGGCCCTAAGTTTGGAATCACTGGAAATCAGAAAAACTAAGATCTATGAAATGCAAAAAGCAGTGATACTTCAGAGTTGTAGAACAGTCAGAAAAGTACTAGACTTGAGTTGAGTCTAACCAGTCGTGTCTCTGCCACCAAAAGTGGCCGACACAACTGTGATCACACCGGAACAACCGTGATATACAAAGATAATAATAATAATAATAATAATAATAATAATAATAATAATAATAATAATAATAATAATAATAATAATAATAATAATAATAATAATAATAATAATAATAATAATAATAATAATAATAATAATAATAATAATAATAATAATAATAACAGTTAACATTATTATGAGAAAAACTTTAAATTTACAATCTTAAAAAATTATAATACTAATTTTTAAATCTAAACAGTATAATTAATGTTTAAAAATTTCAATTAAAAAACGCAAAAATAGATATAAATGTTTCATAATTTAAACTAATAAAAATGATAKCTATTTTGACAAACGTTCATAAAATAAAAAGATCTGTATCATAAAAAAATATATAATAAATTTAAGATAATAATAAGCATTTACARAAWTAAACTAAATTAAAGTTCTTGTTTTAATTTTAGTTTTTTATCTCTTTATTTCGATTATTAGTTTMACAATTTTTTAAGTATCTTATTTATTAGCAATGTTTTGGGTTAGTCTTATTTATATTAAATATTGTATATTTGTTGTGATGTYATAAAATATCGATTAATACCTGTATATACAGTATATATAGTAWATAAATAAATAAATATTTATTATAGTATAAATAATTTAACTAATATATAAACTATTTTTAAGTAATGAGAATTTGGATGTTATGTATAAATACAAAGAAAATTATACGAATATAAACATAATTTTAACACTTTTTATATAATTTTATTATAACACTATAGACATTATAGTAATAAAAATTAATGTCTCGTCGCTAACGAGTGATTCACAGTCAGAATAATAAGATATTAGAGATTTTTTGAGTGGAGTTACGCCTAAAATCAATTGTTATAATATTTTTCTATTCATAATCTGTTTTATCTCTAAAAGAAAACGACATAAACTTAGAGTTGGTTTTATGGTTTGGTATCAAAAATGTTTGACACAATATATCAATTGATGCATTAAAAGGAGCTTCAATTGTTTGGCCACTAATGGCTCATTTGAAAACCCAAATGATAGTCATTTGGACTCTTTTGAAATTTAAATAAAAAAAATTACACATTTATTATTTTTATAGTTATATTATTCTTGTTTATTATGAATACATTTACATTGAATTAATTTTTGTCTCTTTATTTGCCGACAGGTTATGTATCATCCGATGGTTCATCGGCTCCGAGTCTCATCTCATCGAGTCTTCAATCATTTGTTTCCTTACTTTTGACTCTATTGTTGCCACAAATTGTTATAATATATGTAACAAATATTAGTATAATTTTTTGATACAACATCAATACTATTGTAAAAACAATGTAATAGTTTTTTTGTTAAGCTAAATATTAAGTGTATATAAAACTATATATACATAGTATACATGCTTTAAACATAAATATAGTTGTAGTGTATAATACTGTAAATGTTGAAAATGATTTGTTGGTCCGGAAAGCCATATAAGCAAAGAAGATATCATTTTTGTCAATAACTTGATTTGACTTCAAGAAAGAGAGTAAAAGCTGATAATAAAAGTGATGAATAAGTGTTTTGTATATAATAACAAATGTTAAGTGTTTTTATGCATTAAATCATATATAAAAATTATATTAACATTACTAAATATAAAAAAATGTATAAAAATTATTTTGTCATCAAAAATTATTTTAATGATTGTGTTTTATTGATAATTTTGTCAATCTATTAACTATTAATTTAAAATAATGTATTCATTAAATAAAAAATTTATAAATGTTTATCAAATTTTTTTATAATATATGTAAAAAACTAATAATGTTATATATAGTATATGTCATTTTTCTCTTACGTAATGTAAAATAAATGAAATGTTTTTTTTATAAATATATATGTTATCAAACCATTTATTTTAATTTTCATAAAGCAATGTTATCAAAACATATGATAAATATAGGAAAACAAAAAATTTATGGYATAGATTGTAAAATTGAAAATAAATTGTGATTAAAAAAAGCATTAGCTTCAGTGTAATATTGTATAACAATATTTTTAAATTTGGTGTCCACAGTATATTTTGACGTATCTTATATTTTGTCATTTATTATCTATTAAATATTTGTTTGGTTATACTATATATTAATGCTAAGAAAAGGTCAGTCATGGGGACCGAGTATTTCACTACTTATTATTTGAGTATTACTTTTGCACAAATGATTTGGTATATTAATAAAATAGCTGACAATCAATGGCTATATATTGCTGTAGTTGTTAAGCAAAAAAAGGGATGTCAATTGAAAAGGTGTTGTTTAATAGTTTGCAGTCAAACATAATCTCCAATAAGTCACACAAATAAAGAGCCAAATATTTTGTTCATATATTAAAAGATAGATTTTGTTATAACTTATAAACAGTAAGTTTGAGAGGAGAACAATGGCTAAGGTTTGTCATAATATACAACAAACGCTTCGTTCAAATATTTTGGTTTACAGACACATCCCTTTCCATTGACTAACAATAGGTTTTAATAGTGACGACACTAGTGTTGATAAAATATACCTAAAAATCAGGTCATAATCTTTTTTAAACACATAATTCATCCATCATTTGCACGCCAATGACATCTCAATACAAAACTCTTTACGTGTATTTATTTTATGTCATATTCGCTATAATAATAAATTGCTTTATTTTTTTGATTATAAGTTATTWTGATAACAGTTATACAGTATCGGTATATACTATATAGCGTCTACAGTATTATTACAGTATTCTATAATAATAATAATGTTTATATTATTTATATTATAAAAGTCTATGTAATAATAATAATAATAATAGAAGTGTTCAAAAAATTTCATTCACTAAATGTATCAAAATATGAGAAAAAAATAGAGAGAGAGAGAGAGAGAGAGAGAGAGAGAGAGAGAGAGAGAGAGAGAGAGAGAGAGAGAGAGAGAGAGAGAGAGAGAGAGAGAGCATTTGTTTGTTGACTTTTAGTGATAAAACTTTATCAATGCTTTGGATGCTTCACATGTTATACCATTGATTGGACAGGGATTTGAGTGCATACACTACATCACACTCACGCACACATAGCAAACCAAACTAAAGCAAAACATCGACTTTCATTATATACTCATCAAAATTTTATGTCTAAACGATTTTGTGATATCAAAAAAAATGTTATATGTTATCTACAGTATATAAATTCAAACTTTTTAAGACATCTTAAAAATAATTTTATGAAATTAAGTTTTTAAAATTAAATGATTGTCATTTTTATAACTATTTAATGCTTTTAATAAATATAAAAATACAGTATAATTATAATTAACTCATTAGTTTACTACAATTGAATTATTATATAAATTTTATAAAAGCAAATATCTTTCTATAATAACTAATTTCTAATTTATATTAATTTATGGTTAGTTTTATAAAAGTACAATCATATTATAGTATTCAATAGTGTTTATAACCAATTTAAAACCAATGGTATATAAGTTATTATAATTTATTATATAATATATGTATTATTTTAAATCAGTAAAATTAAAACAATCAATAGTTCAAGTGACATATAGTATTAAATTGTGAACCAAAAGCACAATTTAATTTTTAGTGATATCATTTCATATAAAATTTTTTATTTATTTTAGACTAAATACTTATTAACTTAAAGATATTAATACTGTACCAGTATATACAGTATTTTTAAATATAATAAATATTAAATAGAATCTAATAATAAATGAATTATATTATAATATAAAATAAATATTTTTTAATAAGTTTAAGTTTAATAATAACAAAAGTATAGAATTTTATTAAAAGATACATAAAAACATTTTGTAAAATTGTGAAATATTATAGCATAACATTTACTTAACAATGACCTAACTTATATATTCCATTAAATATATAGGTAATTTAGAAATTATAAAAAATAATCTATTTAATATCGATTATGTTAATAGACATCAATATTATAAATTATAAATTTTATATTTATCTCGAATTTAATGTTTTATCAATAAATACTAAGCAAAATTATTTTTAAAATTATTATTTAATATATTATAAATAATCAATAATTTACTTTAACAATAAAATATATAATATAAGATAAAAAATGGTTTGCTAAAAATAATTTATGTTATTTATCAATAGTTCAATATTTAAACTCTACTGTAAATAAGTAAATAATTTTGTTATCTATTGTAGTAAAAATAATTATGAAATTACAGTATATTAATTATTTGATATATCATTAAATAGTATTTATTTTTATCAAACACTATATTATTAAATTTAAAATTATGCTTTAATTTGTCACTGCGACGAGTTAAACAAATTTTAATTTAAACTTTATTAAAACATTCAAAAATATAGTTAACTTAATAAATACAGATCTATACTTTAACATTATATAATAATTGTTAAGTGAAAGKTTACYATTATAGTAAAATTATTACAATGTATTTAAKRTTAAAGTATTTGATTTAGTTAAGTTAACAATATTTTTTAACGGATTCACAAAGTTTAATATATGCTCATAGATTTTATATCCATTTTTGTCCCATTATTTCACTCAATTCTAATGTAATTTTTTTATGTGTTGAAGAAATAACTAAAAAATAAAATATTTAAAATCACGTAAAATCCTGTATTTTAACAAAACTAATTTCTCATTAACTAAAGTTATGTCAACTTTATATCAATACATTTATATCAAATGAATTATCTATAAGAAATGGATCAGTGTTTTCACTTTATTTGTTTAATTTTTTATGAAACTGAAAGCATTAATAAATAAATAACATTTGGAAACAACATAATTATTTGGAAAATATATAAATTGATAACAAATTAGATACAAATTAATTAATTAAGTTACTGCTTCATTACATATTTATTTTTAAAATAGTTAATCTTATTATTAATGTATCGATAGATTTGTAATTTATGTAAATCAAAAAAGTTTAGCAAATATAACTGTATTTAAAAATTAGTAACATTAACAAATTTATTGAATAATGAATCTAATATAGCGTCATATGATTTGATAAAATCTAAAATAATATATAAAATGTATTTTTCATATTTAATTAAAGATGTGTCGACACATCATATATCTTAAACAGCAAAAAGACATACATTTTTGTCTCATTCACTTCATATATCATATTTAGGTATTATTTGTGTTGAAATAATATTTTAAAGATTAATATCAACAAACTATAAGTAAGTGCAGTATTTCTCTAATACTTTTATCTAAACTGACATTTAAAGAGACTATATGTTTGAGGGAACGGCAGGTTTACATATTTTATGCATTAGTCAACCAAATTAAGTCATTTTTTGAAATAAAAAAATATGTAAAAAATTATTACATTTTATTAGAATATGCCTGAAGTCTAGTTTCATGTTTAAGACTTTGCTATTTTCAAAATCTATTAATTATTAACACAGACTTTATTTTATGACATTATTACACATTTTAAACTATAATAATAAAAAAATTAAGATAATTACTCAATTTATAAAGTTATAAAATTTTATATTTTCACTAGAATTTTGAACATTGTATAAACTATTTTATATTTTTATTTTATACAAACTTAAATTCATAGCGTAAACAATAAAATTGTATTAAAATAATGTTTTTCTATAATTTTTTAGAAAATAAGAAAACAATTTTTTTATTCCACCAGTAAATGTAATTATTTTTATCATTATTTGTTATATTTAAGTCTTGTATTAAAAAATATTGTATTTATATCATATATTCAACAAATTTATAAAAAGTTTGTTTTTATAAACTATGTCTGTGTTTGTTTGTCACACTTTTTACGAATTTTGAAATTTTGACTTAAATAGTAATACATTTCTTTGGAAATATTGTCAAAATTGCGATTAAAKTATTTTTTAAATAATTCAATTTTCATTTCATAATWTTAAATAGTCTATTATTATAATGGGTGACAAAAATAAAAATAAATATTAATTGMAAATACTAATATTTTAATGTAAACTTTATTATACAGTATTAACTAATATTATAATCATGTATTGACCATCATAAACATTAGTACTATTATAATAATTATTAAATTTTTAAATAATTTTTTATATAATTTATATTATATTAAATAAACAATATTATTGTATTTTATAAATAAAAAATTATTTATTTATTAAATTGTGATTTTATTATATGAATAAAAAATATTAATTGTTCATATTTTAGCAAATGTTTAGCAAATTTCAATATTTTTAGTCAATAGTAGAAATAGCAAATAGAAATAATATATAAGAAAATTTCTATTAAATTATTCATGAATTTTACTTTATTAGTATACTATGGGATCTATAGCTATTGTAATACTATATGAATTTTACATTAATGAAATATAACACAATACATACTGTATATCCAGTATGTATACAATATCTTTACTATACACTACACTACTATATAAATAGGATCCCTATATATAAAATTATTATAATTATCTAAATATAATTACAGATTTTTGTAAAATTTTGGTCATTATTTAATTATATATTAGTTTAATGTATTAAATAAATTAAGATTTTACTTTAATTATTAATTAAAATACTAGTAATAATATTTAATTATTACTTGTAATTATATTGTATTGTTACAAGATGACAAATATTGATAGAACAAAATTAACATGGTCATCCCAAAGACATAAATTTCTTTTGTAAACTTTCTAAAAATTTCTCGTTTTCGTCAAACACTAGTCAATAGTTAACAACAAACTTGATTTAACTTACTATAGAATAAGTTAACTTAATTTTTGTTAAAGTTTTAGTTATAATAATTATAAAATTGAAAATATTTTTTAATTATTCAATTAAAATTTTAAAAATTATTAATAAAATTTTATATTATAAGTATTTATTGTTTTACTAACTTTATTTATCTTAAACTTCTATTTAAATTGTAATATGATTACTGTCTTTTGACTAATAGGTAATTTTTAATTTTTTAGTTGAATATTTTAAATAAAATAATGTTATTTTTAGATAAGTTTTAACGTGATTTTAACTATTTTACTTATTTTTAATTTGTTGAGGAAATCCATTTTATATTTAATTTAATTATAATATTTTAATCTTTTTGTTTTTAACTTATTTTGATTTTTATTGTAAACCTATTTATATGCTTTTAATCCTTTTCTTGAATTGTTGATCGATTTGATCGATCAATGCCTACCTGTTCTTAGAAGTGATCG